TTCATAGACAGCGGAGAGAGAGAAAGCCAAAAGAGGGTCCAGGTTTGATGCATGTAGGATCAACCCTCAGACAGATTGTCGTCCTCAGGCTAAAAAGGACCTGTGGATAAAAGAGGTTGCCATTGAACCGTGTGTGTGTGTATGCCTCACTGAGTGTGACATCCAAAATTGGTGCCAGCAGCAGATTTAAACAATAACACCTCACTGTTTGACCTTACTCCCAAAACCAACAGCGTGTCTTAAAGATGTGTGTGCTTGTGTATCGCCTGCACATGTTCAAATAAATAACTCCACACCTGCATCTAAGCTTAGTCTGCTTGCTTGTGTTCAGGGTGTGTGTGCACTTCGTGGGAGGCTGTGGAGGTTATGAGTGGCAATGATGATGAGCCAACACTACAGGGGAGAATAATCTCTCATTACACACAATTCCCCGATGCTGCACTGCGCTGGTGAGCGCGACTGGAGTTGTCCCACGGGCAGAAATGCTCAGAGCCACTCACTCGATTTATTAGTCCATCCCCAAACCCCCTGCCCCCTGCCTCCCCCGCTGCTATCACTCCGTCTTCATGCTTCCTTCCCACCATCCCTCCATTTCTTCCCACTCCCTCAGCCACCTGCTGTCTTCCATATGTCCAAAAACCTCTGCTCTACCTACCGACTTTGTACTTTGTTTGAGCTTCTTAAATACTTTATCTGAAGCTTATAAGCTTGTATTTAACTCTTCAAATAAAAGAATAGCTTGACATTCCATGAAATACTTCATATACCTTAATACTGCATTTTCTCACATGAGATTTGTGAGAAGTTCAAATGCTGTTATACAGGGATGGGCAACTTTGGTCACAGCAAGGGCCACATTTATTTAACTCTCACTGCCAGGGGGCCAAATTGTAGTTTCCAAAAACAATTGAAATCAATTCTGTCTCAAATTTAACTCAACATATACCAGTGATCAAATATTATTATGGACATACTTCTGGTTTTCATGATTTCATGGCAGATTCTGTTATGTTTTCTTCATGATTCCAATTAATTAATATGTCAAAATTGAACTGAGGGCCACACTGAGGGTTGATGGGGGCCGCCAGTTGCCCACCCCTGCTGTTTTATGTTGCAGTTCTGTATTCAAGAATCTAGGTGAAAACCTGAAAAAATGAAAACCTGAAAAATAAAAACCTGTAAAAATGTACCATTTAATTATCAAGAAAAACATCTGGCCTTATTTCAAGATTATATATTAGATAACCCGCTGCTAACATTTAGCCACTTCTAGCCAGGGAATAAATACCTAGCTTTCATTACATTAGTGAGAATCACATCTTTCTATTGTGTAATGTAACTTTGCCAAACACATATTTAGGTTTCAGCCATTCCCTACCAGTCAGTATTATTATCTAGTAAGCTAAGTTGCAAAATAAGACATGCAGATGTTATCTTTCAATAACTAACTGAGTAACAAAATAGACTGTAAATAATAGTGGAAGAAGCCTGAGAGACGTCATCATTTTGTTTCTGAAAGGCTGTTTTGGAGGCCTATACTGTACTTAAAAACAGCATCATGACTGGAAAAAGCAGCTGTGTGAATATGGACAATACCTCCCTCACATGTTAAATTCAAAGTAACAGCAAGGACCCTGTTAGCTTCGCTTTGCATCAGTATTAAGGCTTGAGACAGGTGGATGCAGCTTTAGTCTGGCTCTGTATTAAGGTAACCAAATGGCCAAATAGCACCTTTAAACAAATTAAATGTACAACAAGAAAACAACTGTTGCTAAGTCTTCAGCACATAACCTCCCTGTAAAACTAAAACGTGTTGTAATTTTCACTCTTCTGCTTTGGTGCTGATAAGTAAAAAATGTATTAGCTACAATATATTCTATAGCTTTACACTTGGAAGACCAATGTGAGAGTTAAAATCAATCTTTCCATCTAATTTATGGCAAAACTTCAAATGAGCACATTTCATAAAGTTTAAAATGACTCATTGACTTATGTGATATAGTGATAGGCTACCAGATTGTTCACAGAGTAAAAAAAAAAATCCTCTTGTATCCCTGCTTTTAATATCCTTTATTGTAAATTGATTTTGGCCTTCTTTTCTTCAATGTGAATTCCACCCCCCACCCCACCCCCCAGTTACACCCTGCATCCTCCCTGCCTCCTTCCCTCTCCATCTGGGTAGCGTTGAAGGATCCATCCATCAGAGAGAAGAAGTAATGTTAAATCCCATGTCTCCCATCACAGCCCTGTATCTCTCTGTGTTTACATACCAACATATTTCAGCCTACTTACATGTCAGCAGCACCGGCAAGAAGGCAGCATAATAATCATATCTCGTGTCCTGGTATGAATCAGGAATTATGGTCGATAAATATGGGGAATGAGATTTACAGTACATGCTGAGGATACCTGAGGGAGTTTTGTTGAAATAATTTTGCAGATGACAAAAAGAACAAAAAAGAAAAATTACATGTGAAATGATGTTGAAAAAAACATGGAAAATGTACTTCTATAAAAATTAGACATATATAGTCAGAACAGTCTAACTCTGTTTGAAATTATATCAAGCTGGTTATGCTAATTTCTAAATATATATTAGCATCTTTGAATATTCAGAAGTGCTAAATACATCCAAGTCTTTTTTTTTTTATTATTATAATGATATCGTCTGCATGTTTTCAAGTTTAGATATAATAGAATAAAAATTACTAGTAAAAGTTTCTAGCTTAGGCACCATCTATCATTGTGAATGAAGATAGCTAAGTTTTTATCAGGAATGTAATGAATTGGTGCTGCACAAATAAAAGATTGATTGAATTAAAGATCAAAATGATTAATCATTTCTTGCTTGTTTCTATTGAAAAAGGAACACTTTACTGGTGGGCCCAACACTTGATTTCCTCATTTCCAGTGTGTTTATCTGTAGAAAAGAGGAGGATGAGAAGGAAATAAGAAAAAAACAGTTGTTACAAGAATAAGACCACAGTCATCAGATAAAAGGGATTTGTACGATTTGTTCGATGATACCTTAAAGCTGAAAAGCTTGATGTGCTTTATGGCTGCGACTCCCACTGATTGTGTAGAGATCTCATTTCACACATGAGCGTCTCTCTCTGCTGTGTGTGTGTGTGTGTGTCCACACACTCTGGAGTTAGTGCCTTAACATTACGTGTGCTTACCCCGAGGCTGGATGACAGAGACGTGGAGAAGGAGGAGGAGGAAGAGAATGGGAGAGATAGTTGAGGAAAGTGGAGAAATAAGGGAGAAAGTGAAAAAAACTGAAAACTAAAACAAGAACAGAAACATTATATTGAAATTTTTAAATCCGGATATAATTCCATCAACTGTCCTTGGTTGCACCTTCAGAGACAATTGAAACAAAAAACTGCATCTACTCTTTAAAAATATACAAAAAAAGAATGCATTCCTTGTCTTCTGTAGAAGTCCCTGGACACATATGGTGCAAATGTATAATTTACAAACATTTTAAAAAGTATATTTTTGGAAACCAAATACAGTGTCCCATTTCAAGAAACTCAGTTTAGAGTCTTTCCTTTTTGTGAAGCACATTTATTAAAAGACCATCATATCTTTTAAAAAGAGAACTAGGTCCAGCTTTTGAATTAGATTCCCCCTACTTTGTAGCAGTATGAAAAAAGAGATACATACTTTACACCTGCAGGCCCCATGGGTGCTTGGGGCGAGATTTATCACCACTGGGGCTCTCCAATGATGAGACCGTTTAGTGGGGGTCCCTGTAGTCCTCCACTGATTAGTGCCAAACGTCTTCCCTAATAACCTTAACAAGAACAACGCCTCAGGACGACATGCCGATGCACACAGGCAACACACACATCCTTGGAGATAGAGAAGAAAAAGGGCTTAGGGCTACCCATCCTCCTCTCCTTCTCCTCAAAGTCACCCCTCTCTCCTTTGCTCCATAACTTGATATCTCTCACTATTTCTGGGCTGGGATCCCCCTCCCCAACTTGAATCTTCAGCGCTACCTCCCTCCGCCAATTCAAACCAACACATGTACCAAATTGAGTTGGTTATGGTTCAAGAGTCCCAGCACCGCACATAAAGTTGCTCTCAGCATCCAAATGAAAATAAGACAATAGGAATATATGAATACACTCTGGAGTGTATGAAAGCCCTCACCCCGTGGGATAAAGAGATGAGGAAAGAAATTGAGAATAACAGAATTTATGATGCTGTGAGAAGCCGCGGGGGATATTTTATAGACAGTAACTCCCACTGTGGACAGTTTCCTACAACGGTTTACATGTTAATGTGATGTGACCAGTGTTGCCTACATACTTATAACATGGCCAAAAACACTTCTCACAGACAGCCAAAATAATCTCCTAAAGGAATGCAAGTAACTTAGCTCTATTTATAATACTTTACTTAAATTGTGAATGCAAAATATATTGTAATTGTGTGATGGCAACCATCATGTGTCACAATGAATTTGTTTTCTGGCTGAGATTTATCACAAATCAATAATAGGAAATTTCTTTGTTGCCAATGAACAAATTACAATCAGTTCCTCTGCTTTTATGTTGCATTCATGTACCGCATGGAATATGCTACGTTCCAACTCTGCGAATGGTTAATACTCATGTTTTGGAGCTTCAATTAGGCCTATCAGGTTTTTATTTTTATTTTGACATTGCAGTGGCCAATAGAGTGATGTTGTCAAATGGCTATTTTTAATCTGGCGTTACCTGTCCCAGTCCCGTATCGAGATAAAGATATATATTTTCCAATCACAAGTGTTGGTGCTCAGGTGATATTCTTCCGTCCTTCTGTCATTCTTATGGCATATGGTATAAACAAAACTGACGGGTGACAACGTGGTATTGAACATTTTCCCTCATTAGTTTTTCGACAACGAGACCGTTTTCTGTTCATGATCGAGCATTTTACAAGGCACCAGTGAACGCAGCAAAAGAGTCCCGACGTGACGTCACGTGGAGCCGTCGAGTCAGTCAGCTGAGGGAGGAACTCCGACAACAGGAAAGTCAACCAGGAAACAGAAGCTGCTAAACTGACCTGCCGCCCCGGTGTGACGGTGTTAACGACAGGAGCAACACGGTTTATTCAGCGAAGGATTCGTATTTGGGTGAATAAGTTGAAACAAAGCAACGACATGGCTTCCATTTTTAAGAAGAAGACTGTCGATGGTAAGTTTGCTCTGTATATCAAGCTAGCTAACTTGTTTTCATCCCTGGTGATCAGACTGCTGTGTTGTTCACATCTTAAATGAGCTCTCCCTGTTTACAGCTAACTCGTTTAACCTGTTCTGCTTCTCAGCTGATTCACAAGTCACAAAAACAGGGTTGAAGCGCTGACTATTGTAGTGTACATGCTCATTTATTAGCACGTATAGATTAAAATCTAGCTCTGAGCTACAATATAGACTGTTACTTCTGTTTTCCAAAGGTGTCCAAGGTGCTACATTAAAAACAAAGAGGTTAAGTAATGTCTTCAAATGACTGAGCAGAAACAGGAAATAAAGTAAACGGAACATTCAATGTCTGTGCCGTCCTTTGTTAGTCAAATCACGAACATAAAGCAGTGTTTTATTAACTCAAGTATTGTAGTATTCATATTAAGTTTTCCTCTATAGTCAGAGAATTCAAATTGCTTGTCTACCTCATACCTCCACATCTCAATCCCCTTTTTTTAGAAATACATTATTGAACAACCTTGATTGATTGATTGATTGATTGATTAAATTTATTTCAGACATATCAAATAAAATACAAAACAAAATGAAAAGCACGAAAATACAATAAACAAAAAACAATATTCAAATTATTTCACAAAAAAAGAAAAAGCAAATTACATTCAATTGATGTGCCTGAAAAGGAGCAGGAAGAAGTATAAAACTTATTTAATCCTACCCCTTTTCCACAGCTCAATAATTAATATTTATTAAATTAACTTAACTTCCTGTGTTCCTTATAATCTCTCTATATATACAATCTATGTGTAATGTATTTGTCTTTGACATAAGACTCAGACTCTCAAGTTACCTTAATATAGTAAACTGTCTAAAATGTAAAAATTAGATGTCAAAATATGAGAGGTCTGGTTATTGTTATGGGGGGAAAAAAGTAATTTTATTCAGGAGCAAAAAACAGGGATGTCAAAAATTCTGAAAAGCTTTTCAATCTTAATATTTCAGAATTTTTCTCCAGGCAAGCCAATCAACCTCACAAGGTCAAACTGGAAAACAAGCCTCTATTTAATCAAATCGAATAGATGAATTATTCTGTTACAGAGACTGAGTGTGTTGACTACTATAAGCTATATTTCCGGAGGTGAGTGCAGATTAAACATTAGCGCACCTAAACATATTCATTTCAAATAACTAAAAAAGTTGTCAAAGGTAACTCTTTTCACAGCAGCCTCCTCCTACTCCTCCCGTCATTGTCATTCCAGTTTCACCCGTTCCGATCTTCTGCATACTGTACTTACTGTGCTGTGTTACCTCCGCTCCATGCCAAGCCCATGTCAGGTCCTCTCAGCTGTGACTTTTCAGAGTCTCCATCTCATGTTCTTCATGTTTCTCTTTCCTCTAGGTTGATGGGCAAATATTTAAAAAAAAATGTTTTTTTGCAGTTGCATTGGTTAGAGTGGTTAAAGTGGTTTTCGGTTATTTGGCGAATGGACGAGTGAAGGGGGGGGGGTTGGATCACCCATATTTGTAGGGCGATATCCCACCCACTTTAAGACGTTCGTGGCACGTCACCTTATACGTATACCTTATACGTCATTCACGCAAGTGGTCCAACTCACTGATGTGTCTCGACCAAGTTCATGATTGAACTTTTGAGATGAAATCAGACTTTTAAAGCAGCGTACTATCTTTAAAAAGTCTTATTTGCCATTATAGCCTGGAAAACAGATGCCTTATCTGTTGCTTCCAAATTTCCCCCTTTACTTTTCTGTTTAAGTTCATTTTTCAAGTTTTCTCGAATTTTCATTTTTCTGAATTTATTTATTTTTATAGAATCTTAACGTTATTTGATGCTTGTTTTGTAATATTATGAGACTTTTTTCTGTTTGTGTATTTTATTTTACTGTGCTTTGCAAAATCTAAAAGTTATTTAGAATTCACAGTGAATTTTTAATCTTTTAAGATTTGTTTTTGGACTTTTTATGCCTTTTTTTTAGAGACAGGACAGTGGATAGAGTTGTAAATCAGGGACAGATTGAGTGGGGAATGACATGCTGTAAAGGCCACAGGTCGGATTTAAACTTGTGCTGCAGAATTCAGAGTGATTTAATGTGAGTTTTGTCCACATCACAGCTGCAGTTGTATTTGTTTTCATTCTGGTGGTCATGAAGGCGTGTGATTGTTTGTGTGTCATTCTGATTGCTGAGGTTTTCCCTCGGAAGTCGTGGAGGAGGGTCATACATTATCTCACATGATTCCACTTGGTGTTTGTGTGGGCGGCTTGGATATGACTCAGAGCTGGTGTGAGCTGTCCGAGCACCTCCACAGTTAGCAGAGTCAGTGTGCATTCTCAACGCACTGCCTGTAACCCTGTGGTATTTGTAGCGCTTGTGGGTGCACAAGAGCACATGCTCCTCACTAAGCCATTGAGTAGATGTTTTAGATTTCTTCCAAGGGCGTGCAGCTGACCCAGACCCTGCCCTTCATATCTTCATAGTGTTGATTTCAAAATTAAAAATGAAATCATCTTCAATCAGCTGTTTATGTTTACCCCTTCACCCATACTGTAATAAATATAAAGTAGATAAAGCAAGAGACGCATGGTGTCTTACTAAGCCACAGAGGAATAAACAGTCTGACATTCTCGTCTCTGTTAAACTGTTAACTTCTGTTTATGTGGTCTAGTTAGTAAAGACTTGAGTGTCTGATTTTGAGACTGTTATTGTATCAGTATCAGCACTACACATAGCTCCATTTTGTTTCACCAAAGTTGAGAAAATTGTGCTTTGGTGAAGAGTTTTACCCCTTTTTCTCTTCATGGCATTTTGATATCCGACCAAATGGTCCCGATTGTGAATTTACTGAGGTTTTTACAGAACAGGCACTGATCTTTGTTCCTCCGTGTCTCTTCCACAGACATTATAAAGGATCAGTCTAAGGAGCTTCGTTCAACTCAGAGACAGATCACCAGAGACAGAACAGCGCTGGAAAGACAAGAGAAGCAAATGGTAGGAGCACACACACACACACACACACACACACACACACACACACACACACACGCACATATGCACACGCACACACAAACGCATATGAAAAAGTCTTGGGAATCAAAGTATCCCATAGCGAGCCATTTACCATTTATTTCTACACGTTACATCAATGCTTTATTGAGACCTGCCCCCCCCCCCAACACTAATACTCACAAATAGCTAGGGATGCAGATTACATCCTCTTCCTTCTATTGGGATTCAGCCTGATGGGCTAATAGGGCTAAAAAAAAAAAAAGAAAAGGGAGATCTGGTACGGTGGCTTTGCTTCAGGCGACATAGGCTACTTTCTCTCTCTCACACACTCACACACACACACACACACACACACACACACACACACACACACACACACACACACACACACACACACACACAGACTTGCACATTACGACTGCGCTCACAGACATTTCATCTCTCCCCGAAAGATGAAAGGAGGCGTCTGTGTCCTCTCCCCTCTGTTGTATAAAGTAAATATCACACAGGACATAATTACCTCCCCGGGGAACCAGAATTGTATTCCTCATTAATGCTTCCTGCTAATTAGTCTAGTTTTTTTTTTTTATAAAGCTTTGTTGTATGTTCTGAATAAAAGATACGTTTACTAAAAGATGGAAATGACCTATATTAGCAGTTTAGCACCATCATGACTTTTCTGTTGCCCCCCCACCATGCTGCTTCAAATGAGTGTTTGCACCCACTCACACATTCACGTGCACCTCCTGCATTACATTTGCACCGAGCAGAGATATAAACAAAGTACACTATACATCAGATTTCTCCTTTGTTACATATATTTAAAGTTTGAATGAATAAAAAATAATAGAAGCAGAAAAAAATATATTTTTGAATGATGGCATGGATAGACTAGGAGGTATTTAGAATCAAAAGTTATGTAGATGCTGGATTCATTTATGGGCTTGACAAAAAAAAGACTAACTCCCTTACATTGATCTAAGGAAACCAAGCAGAAAACATTTAACATTTGATCAAATTTGCCCTCCAGAAAAAGATAACTGACTGAAATCAAACACATGTTGGTAGCAACATCCTTGGGTTGAATCTGCAGTTGCAACTGCAGCAACACATTCTCCATCTGTTATTCAGAGAAATCTTTGGCTCATCATTATGCATAAAGACAGTCAGTTCAGCCCAGGCAGGCCTGAACAGCATGGCATTTGTGTGCTCTCTTCCTCAATGTGTACACAAGCTTCGTCTAGCCCTATCTCGATTGCTCTCCTCTGTCTCTGACAGGCCAGTAAATAAGATGTTATAAGCTTCACATCAGCAGCAGCAGGAGCCCCCTGCTATCCTCACCATATTTTCACCATTAAATCATTGATGGTTTTTATTTCTGTCAAGGTGTTTCTTTTTTTTTTTTACCCTTCACACTGTTCTAGAGTTTCTTTTACACAGCACTGATTTGAATTCTTCTCTTGCTTACAAGCGAGCAAATACAGACTGAACCGGATGCGTGTGCGTGTGTGTGAAACAGAGACATGCTGAGCTGAGTGAGGAATGTCTGTTGCTTTGGTCATTAATATTTGATTGTTGTTGTTTCCTGAAGATGCGTTTAGTGCACACACTCATCACATATAAACAGACGTGCAGGAGCTGTTGTATGTAACGTTGCTCAGAGGCCTGGCTTGCTTCCTATAACCTGGAGCTCCACTTGTGTCTCAAGGGATGCTCACACACACACCCACGCCCACACACACTGATCCCTATGGGCATCAGTGTATTTTCTGATGTTTACCAAAGCTAAAGCCGTGTATTCACTTGCTAGTCTGTACAGCCAGATCCAGATGATTTTCTTGTTGTGTCTATATTTGCAAACACAGTAGTCTCACGGGAGACCTGTGGATACATTTGTTTGTTTATCAATGCATAGTGTGTATTCCTACATTATAACTTGTTTTGTGTGTATGTGCTGCATGATACATTAAAAGGAAAGAATTGCAGCACTTTGCATGTCATCATATCAGCAGCATCACAGATAAGTTATTTATAAAATATTGATTACACAATATAGACTACAGTAGTGTGGATTATATCGTCCAATCATCCATCCATCATCCAATATATATATATATATATGTATGAAAAATGTTGTTGTCCACTGAAAACACCTTAATGCACTCAGGCTGGTCTTCTTGGTCTGCAGTGATTTCCTCCTCCTCCAGGTCCTTAGTGTGACTTTGGACATGGTTAATCATGTTGTAATGCTAAAACAGATGGAAAATTGGTGGCAGTTGCTGAAAACATAAAGTAAACAAAATATTGATAGAAATTAATCTTGGGAGTTAACTCCTGAATACAGTTTATCTGCCCTAAGCAGCTAAAAATGTTTTTTTTTCTCCAATTTTATGCCTCACAGAGGAACATTAAGTCAAATGATTTCACTTCCTTTAAAATGAGGAGACACTGTGGCTCTCAGTCGCCTTAATGGATTTGTTCCAGATGTAAACAGTGTAGTCCTGGTGTGTGAGAATAATAATAGGTTATATTGCTATGTATGGAGACTGAAGTAGAGTTTTACAATTTACATTCATATTTTATGCATACTCTCACATGGATTACTGATACACAATTTAGTATACTGACATAGACCATAGAGTTTGAACATTAATACTGTTTATTATTTAGACACAGCTCAACAACAACATCTGTTACTAACAGCTCCTCTCATCTCAAATTCCTCTCTCTCCCACATCCAGGAGGCAGAAATAAAGAAAATGGCCAAGAGTGGTAACAGAGACGCGTGTAAGATTCTTGCCAAGCAGCTGGTCCAACTGAGGAAGCAAAAGGGCCGCACATACGCCGTCAGCTCCAAAGTCACTTCCATGTCCACACAAACAAAGGTCATGAACTCTCAAATGAAGATGGCAGGCGCCATGTCCACCACAGCCAAGGTAAGTCCCGCACTTCAGCTGGTCTGAGGTCAGGTTTTCAAATATTGAATTTATTCAGAAGTTTCCTGTTAAACTGTTCGACAAGTTGGGTTAAAGAGGGTTTCTGTTTAGCACATGAACTAGTTTCAGTGTGTACTCTTATCACTATGTAATTGTTGTAATTAAAGTATTAATGTGGAATCTGTTCATGTTGAAGCCATGTAATGTTGTGTCGTCTTCGTTAATGAAGTGTGATAGGTAGTAATTGGCCGGGAGCGTTGTACTGTACAGAGTCACACTTGGTAAACATAGACAGGTCAAATATAATTAGGCTTCAAATTAATGGAGTGTGATGAGGAGGGTGTGTGGCTGTTTCAGAGGGGGATTACGTTGTGTTAATTGTTTGATGTCAGTTGTGGGCAAGTTTTTTTCAGACACTGATTTACATTGAAACAAGTTGCAGCTTTTATTCAGTTTATTCAATGATTAGTGCAGCACTTACTTTCACATCATTTCAGGCTATGTGTTAGCATTTTTAGGAGCAGAAGTCAATATTTTTTAATCTCCTGCTTTGCCAAGCACAATGGTGAAAGTAAATCCATATTTGTGCTGACTCTGCACTGGAAGATCTGAGATGCATAGTTTTTCAGTCGCTCAGTGTCTTGCTTTTTTCCCCCTGATTATTTTATTTTCCTTATGTGGTAATGAATGCAGAGCTGGTCTTCTGAAGCCATATTCAACCAAAGCGGAAGTGGGGACTCATTTCATTTAATCAATTAAATGTTTGTAATTATCCCAGAGAATGACACTATGATGAAATAATAATTAGTTGACATTCTCCTTTCTTTCTTACCTTATAGTCCCTTTTTCCGTTTTGCTTTTCTACTTTTGATAATGAGAGTGGTCTACAACAATCACAAAATGTCTGCAAAGAGACAGAGAGAGCAACATTCTGGTGCTATGTCTGTTGTTTTGTAAAGGCTTGTAGGCACATTTGTTTGGTGCAGATCTTACTCTTTATCATGTTGGTGTCAATCCTTTTGAATCCTTCCTCCACACACAGCTCCAAAAAGTGTAAACAAGTTGTTCTCTTAAACGTTTCTTTAAAATGTAAGGCTGAGAAAAAGGGTCAACAGATAAGACACTTCCACACCAGACAGAAAGTGGTTGTGTGTGCAGTAACAACCAGAGCTGTAGGTGTGTGAAAGAAAATAGCAAAGTAAGCAGAATAGATGTGAAATAAGAAATGAACGACTAGAAACTAGGAAATGTATTATTAGCTGAAAACCTTAAGATTACTCTCTTAACCTACTTCTCATAATGTTTACAGACCATGAAAGCGGTGAACAAAAAGATGGATCCACAGAAGACCATGAAGACCATGCAGGACTTCCAGAAGGAGAACATGAAAATGGGCATGACAGAGGAGATGAGTAAGGACACTTTTAAACACACATGCTTACAAAAAAGGAGCTAGTATTTACAGGCTTGACAAAACCTGATAGTCAAGAGGATATATGTGCATGCTGTGAGGAGCGACGAGTGTTTTAATCTGTGTTTGAACGAGAGCAAGAGAATTATGAACGTATAGTTATGACATAGAGAGTATCTTTTTTTAACTTAATATGCAAATGCCCACCCACAAGCATCCATACTTTTATACATTTGGTAGGAAGAATGCAACATTTTCAGCCTTCTCATTCTGAAGTCCAAACTGGACTGAAAATCAATGTGTCTGACCGCTGCTTCATTGACCTGTCTGTCCTTGTCTCCTCCCTCCTTGTCTCATTATCTGTCTAGTCAACGACACGCTAGATGACATCTTTGACGAGTCCGGGGATGAAGAAGAATCTGAAGACATTGTCAACCAGGTTCTGGATGAAATTGGCATTGAAATCTCGGGAAAGGTAAGAACATTATAATGAAGAGAGAGAGATTTACAGTGACCCCCAATATGTCAGACACACTTTACCTTTACTGAATCTAATGTTTAAAAACACTTCAAAGGGCATGGGCAAACAGTATTTCATTCACTTGTTGCCAATAGTCTTGAAGAAATATCCATCCATTATTTGTTCAGAATTATATTATTATTATTATTATAAGTAAAAACATGAATGAATGACTGAATGACTTTATTGCGAACCAAAATTTAAAATAAGTAACAGTGTCCAAAAATGAGTAGGAAGAAGTAACACTTATATACCCCTACCCCTATGTTACATTTCTTCTATTAGTTTATAAATTACTCCAACAAACAATTATTTACAACAAATATTCAAACTTATCCCCAGTTTGTTTGCCCCATAAAATAAGTAAGAATCCCAGTGTATTTACAATTCCAATGTTGCAAAATATAAAGGAATACTCCTAAAACAACTTTTCCTCTTCCACCTGTCAAAAATCTATTAAAGTATGAAGTTTTACACCATGTTAAACATATGTATCTGGTCTGATTGGACTGCACATCTCCTAGAGCATTATCGAAGCACTAAATGTTCCACATGGCTTCTACAGCACTCTTTAAATGTGTTCCAGCTGCCACACGGTGGGGCTAGCCCTCAGCTCTTCTCACTCTGTGTGCCGTAGTCTATTTAACAACCAGGTGGCCCCATCTGCTGTGTGTGCATGTGTATGGCTCCCCCTGGGGGGCTTCATGAGTTATTACCTCCTCATAACACAATATAGCATACACTCACAAACAGTCCCATAAAGGAGCCTGCAGCTGGAGCAAACAAACCGGCAAGTTTCATAAAAAGCTGTAAAACCAGTTTTGACTTTCGAGGGATGTGATTGTTTTCTCTGTGAATACGCTCAAATCATGCTTTCTCTTGGAAAGTGAAACAATAAAAGCTGTTTCAATTAACGCCTAAGCTTGAATGGAAGTAACACGTCTCGTTTACTATGCTGTAGGGGAAACCAATTCAAGTAAAGCAGCCGCCATTTGTGTTCTATTATCACGTCGTATTATAATTCATGTTAGTGCATTTGGGTTTTAAACATGGAGATGCAAAATGCAGAAAATTGGCTTCAGTTTTTGGTAAATAAAACAATGGTTTAATAAGAGTTTGATTTCAGATCAGATAATTTTTATTAATCATTTTGATTGTGTGGCCGGACTGTTGAAACTACCCCTAGTTAAAAAACATTAACAATCTTGTTGCATAGAAAGCAATTAAAAAAAAAAAAAAAAAGGGAATCTGGAAAGCAACACTCACATCTGATTTAAAAAAAAAAAAATTAAATGTGTTTTCTTTTTGCATGTGACAGATGATTGATGCTTTAGAAAATGCTTGTTAGTGACACCCACTTGCATTAAGCTGAAGTGTCATTTAGTCATATGAAACTATAAAAGCATGTATATATGAATAGCTTTCAGGGGGTGAGTGATAGTTTTCCAACTTACATTGACTGTAATTGTTTTGAAATTTGAATAGTGTTTAACTTTTAAGGTTTTGAGAGGCAGCTGACACGTGGCAGCCAGTCTTGCACTAAGTACTAAACTTTGTTAATGTGTGTCTCTGTGTATTGTCTATGTGTGTGTGTGTGTCTATGGTGTGTGTGTGTGTGTCGCCTAAATTTGGATTAAATGTTCCTGCTAATGGATTTTTGTTTGCTTCCAGATGGTGAGAGCTCCAGCTGCAGGAAAGGGCGTCCCCAGTGCCGCCTCCTCCAAACAAGCCACCATCTCTGACGATGAGATCGAGAGACAGCTCCGAGCTCTGGGAGTGGACTAAACGTCTTCTTTGTATTAATGTTCACATTATAAACCTGTGCAACATTAATACCGATTGATACAGACTCTTTGAGACACATTGTCACTGCTCAGTTGCTACAGGCCTAACAAAGGCTGCACATCAACACACAAACACATGGAAACGTTTGAAGGCATGCAGGTTAACAGACATAATAACAAATTCATATTCATACTTTTATCTGCAGATGGACTTACATATAAGGGCAAAACATTTTGATCTATTTATACGACAATATTTTATTTTGGTGCTGAAGTGGCCACAGCCTGAAGGTGGATAAATAATACCTGCTTTACCTGAAGAGGTCAGGACCACCTACACTGTTGCTCACCTTCATCTCTCTCTCTATAAGGGCTACACTAATACAAGACCTCAGAGTTGGCCTCTTCCCATCTGATGTTTGGTCAAAAAGTAAATGAATCATATCATCAGTCAGCTGTCATGTGGCTGAAGATGGATGGTGTCTCTCTGAAAAGTTTTAATGAGTAAAACATGTTAATGAAGTAGGGCTTAGGGGTTGTCAGAAACAAGATGGATCTTTGGTTGTTTTCTTTCTAACTACTTACCTGCTGTCATGGACGCTACTGGTTCATTTGAAGCCCAATCTAATTAACCGTCTCTGAATCTAATGATCCTCTCCTTTATGTGTAAGCTTTCAATTTTCTTTGGGCAAAATTTCCTTGGGCCGTTGGACGCAGGCTTCATTTCCTTACCAAGCAAGTAAAGGGAAAAAATAGGAGGTCATCACACTTTTAACATCTGTCACCACACAAGTGAAGCATCATACATATTGATCGTCATGTTTTTAAAATCCTTAAGACTTGTTACCATAAGGACTGGAGGGGATGTAACTCTGGAAAAAACATATGCATGGGAAATATTTAAGGGATGTTGCTGGCTCCGCGCTCAGGCGAGGCCTTTTCGATTAACTTCAAATGAATTCACGAGATGCTCAGATGGATTGATCGGAGGCGTTTAATGTGCACCGCCGATGCTTTGATGCAGTTCAGCTTGTGCGAGAAAACCTAATCAAACCCAAATTAGGACTGAGGAGGGAGTTTTCAAAGAGTTCTGAATCGATTGTAACTACTGAGTAATCAAATGAGTTTTCTTTTCATAGTTTGGTTGCTAACTGATATTAATATAGGATGTGGGATTTACATCATGATTGTAGGATGGCACTGTTCCTGCAGTCCCTTTTCGCTTTCAGCTGCTGTGCAGTTACTATCATTTGTAATTTTTAAGCTGCCTCACTCACATACTTGCAAAAACACTACAGAAACAACATGATTGAAGTGTTTACCAAAAAGACACTGTGATTAAGGAGATTCTGTGCAGAGATTTGTTCAGTGTGACAGAAAGATGATGTTAAGTCTTTGTATTTCTCTCTGTCTGGCCCTTTTGTTCACATCTTTATTCCCCCCTGCCACTCAAGTGGGAATGTTTTAGTTCTTGCATGACATGAACAATACACCATTCTTAATCAATCCTTTCCTCCGACTTTCAGCAGTCTCTTGTGAATGTGGGTGAAAACAATGTTTTAACAGATTTCGACATTGATTGAGTGCAGTTCCATCGTTAAGCAATGCCAAACGTTTTTAAAAAGGTGTATGTGCACTCCTCTTTGTTTTCTTTCGTCAGTGTAAAGTGACTCTGTAAAGGGTGTATGGCTTTTATATAAGGAAATAAAGTTTCTTCAGGTACTATTGGATAAGCCTCTTATGTGTCATTTTCCCCTTAACGGACCATACCAACTTTTATTACAAATCATTCTCTACAAATTCTATAGACTCCGTATTTCTGCGGAACATTTTCCTCTTCATGCTGTACATTTAAAGATGTTCAGATGTATATGACCCATTCCAGGCAGCTATAGCTTCCCATTCATTCCCACATAAATGGCAGACTCTTCAATCTTGGCCCCCTTTTCATCACAGTGAGCATCAAGTCTGCATTCATTTCTCTCAAAGTGGCATCATTGGAGTGAAGCAGTGCACACTTTTAAAATCAATTTGCAATGAAACAGCATAGTACCAAGTCTACATAAAAATATGTAGCAGTCAAATCAGTGGTTTGAATGCTCTGAGAATACATAAAAAGGTGATGGAAAATTACAAGACTCAGTTCATATTAAAGAGTTTTATCATCAAGGGCTTCATATTAAGATTTTAATTATCTGCGTGACTTTGAAGCTTCTTAGTGTAATTTTGTACAGCATGCTGTGCCTGTAACCTTCCACCGTACACCCTCCAAAGTGTGTCAGCAATCACTGACCCTCTGCATTTATTTCCCCTGAGAGCAATCCATTCAGACAGCTGAACATGAATCACAGAAGAAACCGCTTGTTCCTTAACTAAGATGTCCTAGCTTTATTTATGAATCCCCTGCTACTCACCCATGAATTGTACATCTCTTTCTCTCTCTCTTAATGTATGTATTAATACAATAGTAAAAATGACACATTGTTCATGTAGCTCCTCATGAAACATTTTTATTCTCAGAAATGAATTCAACTGATTTACCATTCAGTGTCTGGGAGATGAAGGACAATCAGTACAAGTGCAAACTTTGGTCCTGAGAAACTCAGTCTTTGGTAGATTTACCAGATATTTTAAATCACGCTGAATTAAAGCATATAATTAATAATTAATAAAGCAAATACGTACGTATACGTATCTGTCTACCAAACATTGATACATGGCTTATCATTTTATGCACAATGCTAATCTTTCAATTCAATTTCATTTTTTTCTGATCACAAATGTCTGCTACCTGATGTAAGATGAACAGAATGGTAGTTTCTTTTTTTTTAATGGTTGAGGGATGTTGTGTGTAGAGCTCGTTTCTTCACCTTTGAGGTTTCACATCAGTCATCCCAACCAGGTCAGAGCCGTGACAGGCCGATTTCTTCTTTTTATGACACTTTGTCAAGGCAGCAACAACAAACAACATCAAGAGATATGAAAAATTGATCTTACATCAGGGAACCAAGCAGAGCTCAGGTCTATGTGTGTGTTGGCAGAAATGTCCCAAAAGTTTCAGGTGACTTCAAGCTATAAATCAGAGCAGAGTTTTGTACTCAGCAAAGTGGATCAACATAATATATTAGATCTCAAATAAATAGGTTGTGGTGAAACTTTAAATATATTACTGTTGTGACAGCAGCAGGACCAACATAAATAAAGAGACAGTTAATGAATAAAAGAGCACAGTGAAAAATACACAAAGTAACACAACTGACACAAAGATTCCTGCTGTTAGATTCCTTATGAGAAAACAAGTACTGTCTCTCTTCCATAAAAAATATAAACAAGGCACATTAAGTAAACAGAATTTAACAATTATTTTGAAAAGGCCCAAGGCTGATCCATTTAGTAATCTTTGTACTGAAGTTGTATTTGGTTTAGTCCTCCATGAATTCACAACATGCATAGAGAAAACAAGGCATAGCTAAGATTTAGGAAAGTTACAGTTCAGGTTTATAGGCTGAAGGATCAAATCAGCAGAACCATGTGAAGTTCATAAATTCATCATTCATTTTATAACTTCAGGTAAGAAAAGCTACTGGCTGCTCTTTAAGGTATTTACATTTTCTATAATCTAACCTTTCTTGGACATTGATCGGTTAAAAAAAGCTACAAAGAAACTTTTCTCTTCAAGTAAATAAGATGAAGAAAGCCAGTGCAATGAGGAACATTTCTATATTACAAGAAAATAGACAATTTAAATAAAGGTCTTCTTAATTTTGCTTATTAGCATGCTAATAAGTAGCATACAGGCTCCTTATTAGACATTATTACAAACTTATTTGTACCTTATTCTACATGACCATAGTCTATTACCTATAGATAACAGACTGTCATATAATAAGGTACTAGTAATAACACTTAATATTGACTAATAAGTAGCCAGTATGCTACTAATTAGCATGCTAATAAGCTGAATTAATGGTGAATATTGTGCCTTTCACTTAAAGTCTTTCCAACTTTAAATCAGCAAAAACTATTTGCTGATTGGATTCCACTAACAAAATGACATTGACTTGTGTTTTTATCACAAACTTGTGGTGCAGTGTTTGCAGCTTCCCATAATGTACAGAATGTAAGAAGAAATGAAAGTGTTGCAATTGCATCAGAAGTTTGTTGACGCAGAGTGAGGAGAGCTTATTAGGTTTTTCTGTTTGTGTAATAATAGATTGATTTCTGTCAGATTGTTGGTTTTAACAGCATTTTTAAACAGCATGGTCATGATAGAGACCTGATGTAAACCCACACTCTGTAGCTGAACCTTAAATCACATCATTGCTCTTTGTGTTTTGCTCATCTGTGTGATACAGTTAGGGCTGATTTTGCTCAAACAGGAGCTAAGATTGAGGCTGGTTTTGACCCGTTTCTCTCTTTGGCGTCTGTTACAGAACCACACTCTGACCACCTCCTTCTCCAGATGGAGACCTTTGGCTATCCGTGCTATTTCCTGGGAGGATGGCTTGTTTTTTTCCACAAAGCTGCGCTCCAGAGCCTCCTTAGCTCCAAGGCTGCAGGGAGTAACAAATGACAGAGGAGAGAGGATGAAGTGCATGAAACTCAACATTACTGTATAAAGATATACAGAATGTAATATGTCTTTGCTATGTATAATACCTGATAGTTGTTCTCCTTTTCCTCTTGCGCTCATTCATGCCTATTTTATCACTGTACAGGGCTGCAGGGAGAGTCAAAGGAATGTGATTACCACAGAATATTTGTGAACACTGTCAGCTCATTGATGCATTTTGTGATGAGGAGACAAGAGATGATATCGGTTTCATTTTAAGCATTGAATAGTCACAACACCACTGGTTGAAAACCACTGTCTTAAAAGATGCAAAACCAGTTTTAGGTATTAAAGCAAAGTTATAACTTACTCCTTCTAACTGATCCTTTCACACAAAACCAAAATGCATTTGCAATTTTGATACTCATCAAGGGATTTCCAGGTTAGGCAATGTTTGAATAATGTGCTGTCAGTGGAGGATGATGGAGATGATCAGATATGTGACTCACCTCCTGCCAGCTCAGCTTCATCGAGCCATTTAGCCAGAATGGCCTTAAGTTTGCAGGCGTTCTTGAAGCTCAGCTGCAGATTTTCAAACCTGCAGATTGTGGTCTGGCTGAACTCTGATCCGTGCACTGCAGCAAGAGCCTCTCCGACGTTAGTCTGTGTGTAGCCTGAAGGACAAAATGAAACATAGAAGGACTTTTTGGGAAACTGTACAGGCAAAGAGGAATGTATGGTGCATGTTAAGTTAATAAGTGGGGACATATTCAGTGGGATAGATTTCATAGATATACTCACCGAGTTTGATCCTCCGTATTTTGAAGTCATTTGCAAACATCTCCAGCTCTCTTATCTGTGGGGAGTCCATAGCAGGGGCGTCTTCTGGCTCCCGCACACTCTTCCTTTGGGCGTCAGTTTTCATCTCTATAACAGAGAGGCCCCCAGGGGCCTCATCAGTGGAGAGGAAGGCCGAGGGCAGTGAGGAGAAACTGTGGCTTAATGCACAGGAACCACTACCTAGACCATGATCTGGAAACTTGTACAAGCAAGGGGTAAGAGACCCTGGGGATAAAGAGAGAGAGAGAGATGGAGAAAGAAGGGAAAACAAGAGAACACTTGAGAGAGGTGAACTAGCTGGTGGGAGTCAAAAGGGAGAACCTCAGACTGTCAGAAGGGTGCTGAAGGCAGAATGGCCATAATTCCCATCAGTGTGCAGAGAGTCTTTGCTTCAATAGCATGAAAAATGTTGACATGCCTCTGTTTGACACACTGAACTGTTCGGAGTAAAAACTGCTGGAAGCTGCAAACTCATATTATGTGCTGTTCAACCATTTTTCTTTCAAAGTCAACAATGTCAGTATTTTATAAAAATGTATCTGACAATTTCCTTTAATTTCGATAATGAGAAAACAGTGTTTTAAAGACCATGTAGAGCACGTAGCAACATGAAGAATGTGGGATGAGTTTAAAAGCCCAGACATCAGTGTCAAATAATATGAATATGTTTTGATATATAGGCATTCGTTTTTGACAGAATAAAACTTGATATTTATCTCACACATGATTTAACAAGTACACTTATATTTACTGCAGGAAATCTTAACCTTGAGGTACTTGCAAGGTTTGTACTCATAGAAGTAAATTGCATAACATTTTCTAAAATGTTATCAGCAGTTATGTAACACTTAAAAAGCTTTACATTCTTTATTATTTTAACTAAAAGCTGGCTCTAAACGATAAGGTGGAGCCGATTGATGTGGCTTCATACAGATTAGTTCCAGAGTTCAAGATGGGTTAAAGCATAATTCTATTTGTAGCACGATGCTTCTTATTGCATCAAATTTCTGCACAACTGCAGTAGACTATTTTCAATCAATTAAAGAAATCAAACTCATCAAGCTGTAGGAGAGGAACATAAGATATCAGCTTATTTGTTGACTGACTGTAGCAAAATGTGGATTTCAGTCAACTCTTAAGTTCTGCTCTGAGCGTACTCACTTTTTATAAGACAAACATTGATTTGTTATTCATGTTGCCCAATGCAACACTCCCCTCTTGTGTTAGTGTGATTGTAGTGCAGCTCAAACTATTATACAACTGCAATGAGAAAGGGCCACGATCATATGAGGATAAACGAAATACTATAAATTGTATTCTCTTACAGAAGGAGGAAACACAGGTTCCATCTCTGAACAGGACTCTGTTGGCTCTAAGGACTCCTTTAGATTGAGCTTATGTAGCAGATAGCATCATTTATCTAATACTGCCTGACCACAATAATGTCTGAGCATCTTATGAGCCTCCCTGTTGGAATACAGGAGCAAAAATATTAAATGCAGTTAAAGCCCTCATGTACAAAATAGTTTCTGTTCCAAAATGGGATTGGAGAAAAGGATGCTATCATTGACCGACTAAATTGTTCAGAGGGATCCATACAGCAGCTGGGGAGCAGTATTGCAGATTCTACAATATAACTGTATGCAACAGTGATTTTCTCCAGGGAAGCGCCGGACTCACTCTGTTAGAATCTCTTTTTAGGACAAAGAGTTTATATCTGGGTAAAAATGTCTGTCTCTAACGTTCATTCTCACAGCAGCTGAGAATGAACAGCTTGCAAAGAGCTTAATTCACAAATTTCTCATTACTTGTTTCCATTGACATCATGTTTAGATAAACATGAAGAGAATTAGCACTACATACAAATATGTTTTACTAATGATAAAATACAGCAAAACTTTACGGATCAGCCCGGATGAATGGTGGAGCCAGTTCTCCCTCATGAAGGAGAAAGGGTTTGCCTCATTTGTTACTGATGTCTACACTGATGTTCTCTGGGGAATGTATGGACAGGTATGTGCTGAAGTTGTTCCACAGAGATAGACAAGACAGTAGGCAGTGTCTAAATATGTGTGTGGGCTCAGTGACAGCACACCGCCAAGCCTTCTTGAAATGGACATAGACCCTCCAACTGCTTTTCATGTGCTACATCCAAAGAGTGTGGCATCATCAGTATCTTTAATGATTAAACCACAGTCTGGACTGTTTAGCACCTTTTACATTTGTTATTGCAAACATCTGACACTTAAGTTTTACTAGCACAATATGCTGTTGTTTGTCATTATTGACCCAGAGTGCAACATGGTGTAGTAATTAAAGCAATGTATGCGTTTGTCTTGCCATTTTTCATGTGTATTCAAAATATGTTTGTCTGGTACCTCTATGGTGACAGTGAAGAAATTTCATAAACATGTATTTGCAATGATACCAGTAACCTTGTTACTTATTATCCCAGCTAACGAAGTTAGCCTAGCCACCAGAGCCAGTAAGAGTAATGGATATCAGAAAAAGTGTGAATGTCTAAGCCGTTTTTATGTTTTCTCAAGGGCCCATATTATGCCAGATTTAACTGGCACATGTCACTGGAACCTTAAGGATATAGTAAACTAGAACTAGAAGTTCTCGAGCCGTTTCTCAGTTAAAGCGTTCAGACTGGGAAAAGATTAACATTTCTACGTTACATGGCTGGTAAAAGCTGTGGTCGACAAGAAGTTATTCAACTTTAGTTCATGCCTCTGTAAATTAAAGGCAGTGATATAGTAGACCTTACAGTAAGACAGAACCAATGTCTTTATTGCAACCAATGTGTTGATAACAACAGCAGTCCTCGAGGTTCCTATGATACAAAGTAGGATGGCACTCTTGCTGCTTTTGATTATTCTTACTGGCTGTGGTAGCTAGGATAACCTTGTTAGCTGAGACAAGCTTTGCTCCGAGCTTCCTGGTGTCATCAGCAAGGATATGTAAATGAAATGTATCACCATCATCGCAGAGATTACCCAACAAACATACTGTTAATACACATGGAAAACGATTAAAATGATAAAAATGATCATTTACATGTGCATCATGGTGTTGGATGACAGATGTACTGGTGTGACTGATGAGTGGCACATGCTGCTGGCCTCCTTTATAGTGCTATGACATCAGCCACAACATACGGTGCTGAACTAATGACACATGCCACTACTCCCCAATGCCACATGTTATTTTGCTTTGAGTCAATTTTTGTATGTATTTGGAACATTTCTCACATGGATTCTACCACTGGGACACCTGATTCCCTTTACTAAGCTTCATACTGATCATTTTGTTTTTTAGTATTTTCATATATAAATAAGTTATTTTATTTAAATAGAAAATCATCCTTTATCCTAAATCTTTTTAGAAAGATGCAGACACACATTGCAAACTATCTGACCTCAAACAGGTTAAATTACTGATACCTTCATTCTGTCACTTGACAACACAGACACTGAGTTAATTAAAGCGACTAATGAACTCCTAAGGGTAATAGACGTGACCAGCCGTATAATTTGATTCCTCATATATTTCAGCACAGCCTTTGACACCGTGGACCACACAGTTTTAAAATCATTTTATAAGCGAGGATACAGATTTTCATCAGGCCACAGTGGAGTGGTTAAGGTCTTTTTTTCTTTTCTTTTAAAAGAGGCAATCTCACCTCTCTAATGTTCAGTTTTTTTTCTGTGCCACAGGGGTAAAATTGAAGGTGGTACTTTGTTCTCTCTATCTCTGCTCTGTCTCACAATATTGTAATAGTTCAGTGACACTTTCTCCAAGAAAGAAGAATGCATCAAACAATACATTTATTTTAACCATCAGACCGGGGTAGAAGTTATCATCATCTCTTATAATATATATTTTTTTAATTTGAGAGGAATTAGTATGCAGGACACCGGTACACAGATATCCTGTCTGACAGTTTACTTGTGGGTTATTCTCATGGTGTGTGTCCATTTCTGATACACAGAAAATATATTTCTGTAACGCTTATGGTTGACTCTACCTGACACTTAGGTTAGTGATCTCATTATTTGTTGTGCTAAGCCTTTCCCATTACATGAATGGGAATAAAAAGAAAAGAAATACATATGGAACAACCGAATGTGCCTAATGTGAAATTATTTAAATTAGCCAGAAACTGTTGTTCCTTGTAGGACCCCATTGCTTAAGTAAAAAGCTAATCCTTTAAGAATTTGAAACAATTTTTCAATATGTTAGCATGTTTTAAGAAGAGAAGTTATAGTATGCATTTCTTGGAGGTAAATTACTGACATAACTGTTTTACTCGATCAATCTGTTTTGAACTAAATGTTGTCTGTCAAGATCTTTTCTTTTTTGACAGTGATGAAAAGACAGATGATTGACTAGTGTTTGGCTCGAGGAGATCTGCTGCTATGAATAAATAGAAAATTCTTTAACACCAACACCAGTTCTGACACTTTTCACATAACCACATACTCCTACTTTCGTTTCTCTGCTTCCACCACATGCAGGACGAGGAGGAAGTGGCAAGTCGGCTTTGACAGTTATGTTAAACAAGTGTGCTGAATAACTCAAGCGTAAGGCCAGCTAATCAAGTCTGAAATTGATTTAAATTGGTAGCAGATTTCAAATTAAAAGCACATAAACAAGTTGTCTCGATTTATTGGGTGTAACTGCAGGCGAGCAATGGCAATGATGTGTGTGTGTGTGTGTGTGTGTGTGTGCGCGTGTGTGCGCGCGCGTGCGTGTGCGTGTGTGTGTGACAGACTGATGGTTAGATCATTACCTTGCAATGGGTTTCCAGCGCTCACCATGTTAGGGTGAGGGACGCCACAAGTCTGTAGGATACGAGTCTGAGAAATACTGGCTGAGAGCATCTCCTGAGCTACAGATAGAGAGGGGGTAAATTGGGTAAATATTATCACTTCAATTGTTAACATCTCAAACATATCTAGTTTTCCTCATGAACCCCAAACTCAGAGATATTTACTAAGAATTGGCATAAAAGCGAGTAAATGTAACTCATATTCATATTTTGTCCTGTAAAAAATGAATACAGTTAATTATTCATTAAATGTGGACGATGAATATCTGTTTATTGTGTAAGACCAATAGATTAAATGCAGCCCTGCTATAGTTGACACAAATACTAACACCAACACCCACCTGCCATCATGCCATAGGTTGCCTGCTGGTTGCTGTAGTGACAGGGGGCAACTGGGTAATGTAGGCTCGGGGGGCCGTTTCCGAGAGCGTTTCCGAGGGAGGAAGTGGACAGGTGCATGTGAGAGCGTTTGGACGGCTGACCCAGTGACAGCCCGGTGGATACTGATGGAGAAACAAAAGTGGTTACAGTGATGCATTGACTTGGAGCTGATCTGACAAACTGGTCTGCTGTGAATACAGTAGAAAATGTAATTTTTAAAAATGAACATATACTTTCTTCCTCATTAACCCTAGACTTGGCACAGCTTTAAACAGATCTGTATGACCTGAAATTAAACTACGAGGGAAAACGCTGCCAACCAAAACAAATGCTTAATCTAAGAGAATTGGGGAATTGACCTTTAGATGCTAGCAAAGACATATTTTAACAGTAAAGTCACATATTCCCCACCCAGATAAAAAAAACTTTCTGTGGATGCTCCGCTCTGCTAAGTGTATTTAGAAACAGTTGAACATTGCTCTGGTCTGATAATCACAAAGTTATTCATATATTCATCTTTTCGTACATTTTGGTGTTCACTTCAACTAATGAATGCAAATGCATATAGTTCAGATGAACTCCGAGTTGGCAGTTAGTCACCAACACACGTACTGACTGTTTCAGTGGTCTCTTGTGTCTTTTCTGATAGTTTGACAGGAGCAGATGAGGCTGGTTTATACATCCATCAACATACTGTGCCACTGTGCACAGTCTTACCATAGCTCCAAATTTAATTTAAAGTGAATTTGTGACTGATTTGTTTTCCCATTATTATTACTTTTTAAACATATTTTTCATTTCAACTCATCTGAAAACAGAAAATAATTACAGGCCAGGTGAACAATTTGCTGCATCCTAAGAATTCAGCAGAAGTAGTAAAATCAATTTTAGAAGATGTTTTTAATCTGCAGGACACATTCAATGTAATACTAGAGTTCTGCATGATCTAATTCAGTATATTCTACGCTTTAATGATCAGAAGACACCAAAACCCTCAAGAAGCTTCACAATGCTTCATGGTGAAAAAGCCCATGGAGGGTTTTTCAAATGGGTAACATATCCCCGAAGCATGAATCCACTGAGTAGAGACAGCTGGGCCAAAGCAACTGATTTAATATATTTACATCACTAGGATTGGCTTTGAATAAAAGTATTCCTCCAATTTAATTCATCCTTCCAATTGCTCGAGATCATGGTTGCCTTGATAAAGAGGTGGCGGAGAAAGCATGGTTTGGATAATTCCAGGTTATTGATGCATCTTAAAGCCATGCATGCACATGACTCACCTGCAGTACTTGTGGGACTTCAAATACACTCAATGGTTTAGTCAATATCTAGACAATACATTCTTGCAAAATGCTCTCATTATGCTTTTTTTTTTTTTTACGGGAAGAAAGGGCACAATGCCACACGAGGAGAAGGCAAAGATTAAACAACTGTTAGAGTTAATACAGCTGATATTTGACATCACAAAAACACTTTGTTGGTGTTGGTGACCATATCATTCTGGTACGATAAACTAAAGGTGTTCCAATATCATCTTTAACTATTCTGATTCTGACATCCCTCCAAAATTAGAGTGATAAAAAATGTATAATTACAGCCTAGCAATGAAGAAACAAAAGCATGCATTCTTGCTGATGCACTCCCTTTTTCGGCAGTATCGAAGGTCGTTTATTGATATTTGGACTACTATACTATAAACTTCATCTGTCCATCTAACAGTGTAGTCATTACAGAAAAAAAAACAAGTCAAGTTCATTTAAACAAGAACAGAATTGGAAAAAAAAAAAAAGCTCCAGTTTACCTGCAGAAACCATGCTGTGAGCATGGGAGGTGGCTGGAAGGCAGTCACTGGGTGAAGGGTGGTGCATGAGGATGGGCAAGGGTGAGTCTCCACTGAGTGTGCTGAAAGAGTCCGCGCTAAATGCTTGGCATGCCATTGTTTCTCTAGATGCTCTTAAATCGTCCAAATGGTGTGCTGGAGATTGATGTGCTCACTTTACCTGTTGGTTTTCTTTGGTTTGTCCTCTCTTTTTATGTGGTCTTGTCTTCCATTGCCATGCTCCTTGTCCTGTGTCTTCACTGTCTTAAAATGTGTCTTCTTGTCTTCCTTTCTTGTGTCCTTCCTTGTCTTATCTTGCTTTTCCTTGTCTTCTTTGGCCTTCTCTTATTCTGCCTTTTTGCCTTGCTGATTTCTGTCTTCTTTCACCTCTGACTCAGTCAAGCATACTTCTTGAGTATTATGCAGGCAGAATACTGTTATAAGTTACCTTTTTTTTCCCCCAAAGAGAAACCAATGTCAGCATTTCAGCCAGAACTCTTCAAAGTTTTAGGCACATCCATAACCTCTGATGAGACTCTTGCAGATGACTCAGGTTAAGCTCAAAGGTCTTCAACAGCAACTGAGCTTTCCGTCACAAGGGCCTCTGCAATGCATTCTCCTGTTTCTGTTTCCCTATTACAGATGCAGATGGGTCTGACATATGCTCAGCATTTTGCGGCATTTGCCTACTGCAGGTATTTATATCCCACCCACCCACAACCATCCAGCCCTCTCGACCTATAAGGCCCCCTATTTCCCATCAAGCCGCTCACCCCCACCTACCAATCCTGTGTCAGTGCTGTTATTGCTTGTGTTTGTTCGTACCTGCGCCCTCCTCATCCTGCTCCCAAATCCAGGATTAGGGTACAGAGCGGCCGAGAAACTCGATCCACCTCCTCTCCTCCCCCTTCTCTAGCTATCTCTCTGAGCTCTTCCTGATTACAGCGGTGAGTTGCGAAAGGAAAGTGAACACTTCCAATGCTAATTAAAACAACGGAGGCTTAGTTTACTTTTATATGGTATGTTTTTTTGCACACAGCATTGCCTTCAATTCTCTTAAAACCAATTGCCTCCCTTTGTTACTTGTTTGTACCCTCACCTAATGCTGAGTGGGAATTGGAAAATGATGCACTTTCTTTACCTCAAAGATTGAACTGCTTTCCAATAGCTATAAATAGGGTGCAAATTGGATGTTTTATTTCCCGCAGCCCCAGCTTGACCTGGAGGTCAGGAGCACAGCTTTAGCCCTACTTCAAACTGTCTGTGGTCAGCTACCAACAACTTGTGTAGCATTGTCTCAGAGCAAATGGAGAAAAGGTTACTATTGTTTCGGTATGGGCTCTAGCTTGTGTTGAATGCAGAGTGCTCCAGGTAAAGACAACAGGCCTCATCAGGGAGGATAAAGGTTAATCTAAGAAGCATTGCCACCATGTGCACTCTGTTGTGTCTTTTTGTGTTTGTGTTTATCCTGGACTCTGCTTCACTATTGTTGATGTAGGTGGGCAGCAGGTGGAAAATAGCTTGTGGGTGGTAGGCACGACTTGACTTGCACCAGCATGCAGTGTAAATTTGGACTGGATGATATTTTGACAACGTTTCTCCGAGCACATATTTCACATATAACATTTCCTGTGTTACAATGCTGACTTTATTATTTGCTCTTTTGCATAGTGAGAAATCCAGTTCGATTTAGGAGGGGGAAAAAAAGATAAATCTAAAGACTGATGGCCTGGATTCCATTTGTTTCATCTCAACATGAAGCCTTGAAAGAATCTGAAACCTTTTGTTAAGTTTATGACAGCACAGTGAGGTGTAGAGAACCGAGAAAGAAAACTTTTGTAACAAACAGCCAAGCAAATCAAATAGACTTTGACAAATCTTATTTCACCCAAGGCAAATAAACAGTAACCTAATACCAGATATTAGGGAGACAACTGACTCAAATGGTGTGTGACAATAAAAATAACAAAAATGTCTCACCAGTATCATCCTTTAAATACATCCCTCTCTTCTTTCATTTCAGCCAAATACTCCCACTCAGGCTAAAGACCATCTTCCCTGCTGGCAAATGCAGGCTTGTTTTTGCACATAGAGACTGAACCACTGCTGTTTTTTTTTTTTATTAATTTGTAGCCTGTAGTATGAATCTCCCAAAATATATCAACAGATAATTAAAAGCATTTCACAGCTATCTAGATGTTACATGAAAAGATCAGGTGAGTCATTTGTTGTAATTGCAACAAAAAACAAGGAAGTTCAATTTGTTTTGGGTTTTAGTGTTTGTCATTTTTTTTTCTTCTTCCTGTATTAGCTGACAAAACTTTATTCAATTTCTGTCGTCAATTGTTTGGATCAGTTTTACAGTTTGGATGATGTAACAGCCTGCAGAGATGACTCATGGTTGAAACTAGAGTACATACAGTATGGCCACAACATAAAGAAGTAAATGCCAAAAAAAACATTTTCTTTGAACTTATATAAAAACAGTCCTTATTGATGATGATATATTCAGTTTTGATGTTTGACTTTTTTTTCATCAGACATGGTCCCGTCAGAAATGTCTCTTTCTTATAGAATGAATATAGTTGATGTCATTCCAGTTGGTTGGGTATGGGTCAGGACTATTACACCTTGTAATGGCACAACTGTTATACAGCATTTTGATGCATGACAAATACATTCAAATTATTTATTTTATTATCAGAAATCTGATCCTTAGTTTAATAAGAGTTTACTATTGTCCAGTGATGTTCAAAGGTGTGTCAGACATCACTCTGCTTCCAAGAGCCGTAAGAAAACCATCTGCACATACAGTATTGAAAATATATATTGAAGAAAAAGCCCTTATGTTTTAATATATTGATTTATATGTAATTTAGAATAGCAGCTATGTTTTTGCTTCACACAGCTTTCCTTAAGGTGCATTAAATAGGGTGTGAATGTCAAATCTTTCCCATGGATAGACACAGACACAGACACACACACACACACACACACACAATCACACATACAGACGCACACACACACACACACACACACACACACACACACACACACACACACACACGCACACACACACGCACACACACGCACGCACACACACACACACACACACAAACGCACACACACACACTTGCATATGCACATAAAGAGCCTAAACTTAATTAGCAAAGAGACCATGAGTCAAAGGGGCTCTCTGAAAGCACCTGTCCTGGATCCCCCTCCTCATCTTCCCTTAACACACACACGCACACACACACACACACACACAGAACTACAATGTTGTTTAGTATTTACCATTACTCTATAATGTTTTTTTTTTTTAAAGGTAATTAAAAAATGGAAATGTTGTAGCAAGCACAAAACAGGAGTAGGCAAAACAAGATAGATCTCCCTCTGCAGAATATTCACAGACATACACACACCAACAGATGGACAAAGACTCTGACATGCACACACACACACTCCAAAGACCACTGATCCATCCAGCGATGCAGTGGGAACAGAGTGAGGTGACACATTCTCACAGGTATCACATCCGAGCATGTAGTCTACCAGGTGGACTGTGTGTGTGTGTGTGTGTGTGTGTGTGTGTGTGTGTGTGTGTGTGTGTGTGTGTGTGTGTGTGTGTGTGTGTGTGTGTGTGAGTGTGTGTGTGTGTGTGTGTGCATGTGTGTGTCTGTGTGTGTGCTTCAAGCCAATGTCATGACCCTTTACACCACATAAAGCTGCAATAAACAAAACTCCATGGCACATATTGTATATTAATTGCCTTCTCATTGGTAGCTCAGTAGTGTTAAATGGAAAGACTGTGTGTGCGTTTGTTTGTGCGTTTGTGTGTTCATATACATGGTTGCACTGTAACACCCTGTTAACAATTTAAGAAAGTGTAGAGCAAAATATTTCTGCATTAACTTTAATTACCTTTCTATAATTGTTTAGTCGATTCTTTGACAAAGGATTGCTCTGCTGACAGAAGTCAAGGCTTCAGTCAGTAAGCTTTTATATTTGAGTCTTTCATTGAAAGTAAATTATTAGAACATCACTTGATTCAAGGGACTTCACTAAAGCTTTTTCCAAAACTATTGAGCATTAAAGTTTGAAGAGCTGATGAAGTAAAAAGCAAAACTTGTTTTCTCAGAGATGTCAAAGATCCCTCTGAGCAAAAAAAAAAAAAACCTGAACAGACTGCAGCTTTGTGCTGCTGCCCATTTTTCAGAAGTTCTTCATGGTTGAGAGTGGGTGTGTGGAATTCTTTTAATAATACACGTTGAACTTTGTTGATTGACCCTAGGCCACTCTTACAAATTCTTCAAACAACCGACCTTGAATAAGACGATCTATTCAGTCTCCAGACCTACATACTCTATATTCTGTCCAAATATCCCACATTTAACCGAACTGGAGCATGAAAACCAGCAGGTAGGAGGGAAACTGTGAGTTGATGTGTTTTTTTTTTTCTATCTTGTTTGTCGAATAACTGCATCCATTTATTATGCAAGCGTGAACTCTGAGTGAGGTTTGTTAGATGCTGGAATACATCATAGCAGAGGGTCAGCTCTCCTGATGAATATCAAAAGAACCTTATGCACCACACCGGCCACCATCTGCCAGAAGCTGCGCCTGACTCACAAACCACGGCGCAAACAGCAGCCAGAAGCATCGGAGAAGGCTAATTTCATCAACATATTCAACAAACTGTGTTCCAAAAGCAAAGGTTACCAATCCATAGGAGGAAATCTGAATCTGTTCTGCTCGTCTCCCCCAGATTACCATCTCCCTTCATTAAGTAAATGTCAAATATTGACTGATTAAATAACAATGTACCAACGCTAAAGTCAAAGTTCTAAGTTTAGGCTATTGGGACTGCTTCACTTTGTTTTGCAAATGTTATCGTAAATATTTTAAGCTCCTGTTTCCCTGAAATTGTTTGTAGGTTAAATGCTCATTTAAGAGGAGATGGACTGATGCAGAATCAAATAAAAATCTATCAGTTAGAAAGTGAAGTGATATCCACAGAAAAAAAAACATGCAACAGACACATTTGACAATGCTTAATAGAGCTCCATTCAATAATCTCTAACTTTTTTTTCCCCAATCTAACAGCGTATAAGAAACAGTCACATTAGGTCACTATAGGATAATAAAGAAAAGCAAATGGCACAAATTTTCAAATGACACATCCTATTCTTGTCACAATAATACTAGTGATATAGTTATTATCTGGTAACCATGCACCACATTCTCTTGGTAGGAAAGACTTCAGATGAGGTTGTTGAAGTTTTTAAGCCAATCAATGTAACATCATAAGTTTTAAATTGTCCTTGCAATCACAACCATTAAGGTGCAAAAACATGCATCCCATACCAGCTGCAATAACTGCAAACCACAGCAGAAAGCAAATGAATGGTAGAAATTCACAAAAAAGAGAAAGAAATGAATAAATGAAATGACAGTTATAACCTACTGTGGAGTTGGACTCAGTTTCTTCCCTTTCTCTTGAACCCAACTGGAGCCACTGAGCCTCAGCCGCGAGCACACACTGTCCCTTTGTTCCATCTGACAAACACACAGACATTATTGGACTTGCTAAATATATTTATTGCACAGCATGCTGAATGTTTAAAACGACTTTTATTGTACAATCCATATA